ACCGGTAGAATATGACTAGACACTGTCAGCAGTTAACGATCGTCGGCTCGGGAAAATAGCTCAAAATCAACAATACGGGATAGAGGGTTGCGTTTTTGTGTAAACAGAAACAGGAGGGCTGATCCTCTATTTATAGGTCGAAAATTTGACTCTCACGTCGTAAGCCATATAAGCTCACGTCGTGAGCTTGATCCTGGTCAGCTCGTAGGCTTGCTGCGTGTCTTCTAGGCTTGAGAGGTGTCGATCAACTACTTCACGTCGTGAGCCATACTTGCTCACGTCGTAAGTTTGGTCAGACCTCGAAGTTTGTGTTCCGAACTTCAGAAATTCATATCTTTCGCATACGAACTCCATTTTTGACGATCTTTATATCTACGCGTAGGCGAGATTATACTCTACAACTCTTGTTTAGACTCCGTTGGCTAATTTTGACTTTATTTTTAATATTATATTTTTAACAGGTCGGGACAGGAAAAGTCCGTTAAAAATTCATAACTTCTTCATCAGACGTCCGTTTTCGTCTGTCTTTTTACCGTTGTACTACTATTGACGAGACCTTCGATTCTTGTTTAAGTTGTGTCGGTTAAAAATCACTCGATCTTTATTTCGAGTTTCGGGCTGTGTACTGCTATGCTGAATCTTAGAAAAATCATAACTTCCTCATACGAAGTCATATTTGGACATTCTTTTTATGAAAGCTCTCGGTTTAACGAATGCTACAACTTTCATTTAGATCACTAAAGCTAAAAAGTAGTTTATTGAAAACTCACTTTTTACGTCATATAGCGTCGTACCGGTTCTGTCGCGAAACTTTAATGAGTCATAACTTTTTTGTTATAACTCGAATTTCGATGAGGTTTTCGCCTAAATTTTTCTAACGAGATAATCTACAACTTTCAATAACATTTTTTTTACTTATTTCCAACTTTATATTTTCGTTAATTTCAATAGTTGACTTTTGATCGGAATCTTATAAGACTTCCAATATTTTCCGAATGATTCTAAACATAGTTTTACTTCAAATCTCGTAAAAACTATATTGTTAGAACTCAACGCTCAAAATCATATAATATTCAATAATATTCACTAACAGGCTTACAAAATACGATAATTACACTAGGTTAATAACGTGTATGTTACACCAATATACATACAACTTTTATATCTCGATTTTTTTGTGTTTCAAAATTATATTTTATATTGATCAATAATTGAAAAAACTCATAATGACTTTAACAATATACATACAACTTTTATAAAAAAACTATCACTTTTCATTAAGTTACATGAGGTGATATATATATATATATATATATATATATATATATATATATATATATATATATATATATATATATATATATATATATATATATATATATATACTTCCTAGAATAACATATACCTTCCAAAAATTACTTTTCGTTATCCTCAGGAATTTATATAATCTTATATACATGGTATGTATATAATCTTACTCATTATCTACATGGACTTTATATAATCTTATATACATTGTATGTATATAATCTTATAAACCTCAAAATGATAACTAATTGTAGAAAGCCAGATTCTATTTCAAACAGTATATATGTTGACTTGTAGGTAAATGGAAAACTATATTAATTACAACACGTACTAAATTAAAATAAAAGATAGTAAAAATTTCAAAGTAAATAATTTCATTCATCCAAATAACATATAATACTAAGTTAAATACAAAAGAATTTGAACTTGTTTAGAGAAAAGATGGGCTACAAAACTCGTTCAAATAGTGGCCCATTGAAAAATTAGAAAACAGCCCACTTGTCCAACTCTATTGTCGTGTGAGTGTGTTAGAGTGTTGACGGAGCAACCCAAGAGTGACAGAAACAGGCGGAGTGTGAAAGCGTTGGGACGGTGGCCGGTTTGTTTTCTATGACATATTGGCGCTCTGCCGCCGTGTCAACTTCGATGAAAACCACCAGTCAGTTTTCTTTCTATAGTCTCTTATTTTCATCCAATCGCAAACAAATTTTATGCATAGATTCCATCGTTGAATGTTGATGTTACTATGTTTCAAAGAATCGACAAATGAATCAATCTAAATTATTGGAATTGGTTGATGGATAAAACAAAAATTATGATCGTTAAGTTCGATCTAACATAGTATTTGCTGATCGAAATTGATGTGGATGTATTCAATTGGATTTTTATAGTATATTATTGTTTAATCTTAGATATCACAGCACTAATGCCAAGTTCATATAGTTTGAGGTTTAAGATTATGATTCACACACTTATTTTTTGACTATTTTTTAGGTTGTATTGTTGGAAAACGAAATATGACATTCTAAAAAGCTCAATCTTCTATATAACCATTTACAAACTTTTTTACAACGATTTCAGAACATTTTTTAAACTTTTTTAAAAGCTTTTAAAATTGTTTTACAACAAAGGTATGAAATTTATTGAGACATATACCAACCCAAAGAATAAATCCAAATAGATAAAACAAACTTTGTCATTCCATCTATTTCCAGATCGAATATGAAAAGAGAGAAATTACACAGATCAATCAACAAAGTTGATTTTATGAGTTTCGATCTAGTTTTTATGTTGGTTGGTTTCATGCATGTCTATCTATTATTCTATTTCATACTAGTTTATAACCCGTGGAAACCACGGTTATATAATTAATTAAACTTTTATAATAAAAATTTATAATTATTAATCAATTATTTTAAATAAATTATTAATTAAGAGATATATCAAAATTTTAAAGTTATTATAACTTCAAATTTAACATATAATTTGAAAATATAAATTTGAATTTTGAAATGAGTTGCTTAATATATCTACATGACACATGACATAATATTAATGAGGAGTTGTATTAAAGTGACATTTGACAAAAGGAGATTAAAATTAATCATTTATTAGAATAGGGATTCGATCTAATTTTGTTTTGATTGTAAAACAATTTTTAAAACGTTCTATAAAAATATTAAAAGGTTCTAAAAAAACGTTGTAAAAAGTTGTAGAAAAAACTTTAAATGTTACAAAAAACTGTATAAATAGTTGTAAAAAAAAGTTTCAAAAAAGGCGGTATAATTTTTTTTTGATAAGTTAATTTGAAAAGAAAAACTAATTTTTGAATAAATTGGTCAAAAAAAAAGTTTGGATCAAAATCATAAGAAAATTTAAAATTTGGGACAAAAATATGAAATTGTAAAAAGATGACCTGCTATAGTAGTAAAAACCAAATATATAAAAAAAAAGTTTCTGTTTCATTCAATAAACCTGATGTCCCGGTTTATTGCTAACTTGAACACACTGAGGTGCCGTTTGATAGTTGCTGACTGAGTTTGAGTTAGTACTGACTGAGTAGAACTTCTGACCGAGTCCACATCTGACTGAAACAATGTTGTTTGATTATATCTCTGACTGACTGCGATGAATGATGAAAAGTAACCATATTACCCCTTGATGCAAAACTTTATATAGCGCCAAAAAATAACAATGGATTTTATTCATGATTCAGAAAAAACAATGAACTTTGATCGGAGTTGGTGATACAACAAACAAATGAATCAATTTGGTGATTCCCTTTAACTACTTACAACAAACACATGAATCAATTCAATGATTTCCATTAGCTATTTACAACAAACAAATGAATCAATTTAGTGATACAACAAAGAAAAACCAAGTTGCAAATTTAGACAACTAACTTTTATTCTATTTCAATCAGGAGTTATCATCATGTTTTAAATAAAAAAAAATAAAAAAATAAAAAAATAAAAACAAAACTATCTAAAAGTATGGAACAAAATTTGTGTTGGTCAAACTCTATCATATGTTAACAAGACCAAAAGTTCCAACTGCAACTATGAAACTTGTAATTCTTAGTAATCATGTACATATAATCAATGTAATCAATGATACATATAGAAATGTTTACATAAACAGAGTGGAGTTCTTTATTGTGCCCTGCATCGTTTTCCACCTCTTCACTTCCCTTTTGTCTCTTTCTTTCTGTATGTTCTTCGGTTTGGACTCTCTCTCTCTCTCTCTCTCTCTCTCTCTCTCTCTCTCTCTCTCTCTCACCATAAGCAAGTGCATGTCTGACGAGGGATGTTATTTCTTCATTTATAGCTTTGTTTTTCTCTTCCCTGATAATCATGACTTCAAGATTCACTCTGGCAAGTGATCGAACACTTGGTGAGCAGATGAAAATCCAAGGTGAATTTGAGGCTATTCTCGATTGATTCCTTGTCAATTTATCAAACATGAATATTACCTAAAGCTTCAAACCGATAAATGGAACCTATATTTTTTAAAGCTTTAACTCAAACATTTAAACCCAAAAAGAAACTTTAAGCAATATAACGAACCCAAAATTTTAAAGCTTCAAATTAAACAAATGGAACCAATCGAATTTTACAAGAACTCAAAGAAGAAAAATATGAGAAATCAAGATTCTTACCCGTTAATCGAAATCAAAGAATCCGCCGGGGATATATGTAATCGAAATCAAAGAAGTTGTTTTTGATCGCTAAAGAAGTTTTTGTTTTTTTTTCTCTGTCCGTCAAGTAGAAAGCAAGTACCGATTCCTGTGTTTTTATTGGACCGGGTCCACACATCTATAATCCCTATCAAACATGTCAATTGGTATTTTATGGACCCAGTCCCTCTTTAGACCCAGTTTGATACCATATCAAACAACCACTGAAATTAGTTTGATTTAGTTTGATTTTCCAAAAAGGATATAGAAGCAATAATAAGTCTCTATGGGATTATTAACATAATTTTTTTTCCAAGTGTCATCCATCAATGGAAAAAGTCTCTAATGTTTAAATAAACAAAAAAAATTGACATTTCAAACCAAATTTATACAAAGATCAAAGGCAATTAATAAATTAATATGGACTACAACTTCAAGTTCTGAAGCAAAACATGATATGTAGAAACAAAACAACAATTACAACTTCAAAAATCAACACAAAATAAATCTTTTTTTATCTTCTTTCTGCAGCAGTATCTTCACTGTTTCCACCTTCTGTTTCAATCTCAGGCAACGTGTCTAAATCCATCCGCACCTCTTTCTCTTCTAAATGTGTCTCATTTTCCACTTCATCTGGATCCAAAATTACATCATTACCCTCCAAATTCTCACCTTCACCTTCACCTTCACCTTCCCCTTCATCACTTTCACCTTCATTACTACTTTTCAACTCATCAGACTTCACATAACTTGAATTAGGAGCAAATCCCTCCACTGTGACATTTACAGCTTCTGTAGAATCAGAATCCATGATTTTGGTGCTTGAAGGAGGTCCATTTTCATGGGTTCCATTATTATTGAAAGTTTCACCATTTGAGATTTCTTCATTTGTTGTATTTTCAGTAGAAAGATGAGTAACTACTGCACTAGAAGCATCATCTGCTTTGTAGTGTTCTTCACGTCCTTCATGTGTATGTGTTGAACCTCCATCTTCTTCTTCTTCTGATTCATGATCTTCTACAGAATCACCAGTTTCAGTTTCAGTTTCAGTTTCAGTTTCAGTTTGACTTTGACTTTCTTCATCTATGACTTCTTCTATTTCTTCCACTTCTGACTTTTCTTGTTCATTTTCATCGATTTCATCCTCTTTTCCCTCATCGATCTTCTCTTCCTCTTGTTCTTCTTGTATTTCAGCTTCCTCTTCGATCTTTTCTAATTTAGGTTGGAGATCTTTTCTTCCAAGTTTAGGGATTTCTTCATTGCTTTGTTTACTGGTGCTTAACGAGATTTTTGTGTTATCAAATTCTTTCTTCTTTTCATGAGATCGTTTCACTTGGAAGATCAACCAGAAGCAAACAGCGAGCAACAAACAAACTTGCAGGACATTTTTGGATTTGATTCCTTTTGCCCTCGGGTTTCTAACAGGCGAGGGTCTATACATATTGAAATTTGATGATAATCTTTATATTGGGATTATGTGAAGAACGAACTGACCTGAAATCACAAACGAAAACCCTAAAAATCTGGGATGAAGAGAGTAAAACAGTATAGAGATTGCTACTTACTTCAAGTATGTAATTAGTAATTAAACTATCAGTTGATCCAAAATTGAATCGAAGTGGAATCATTTAACGTTTAATACTTCCTAAATTTGGGGAAAGGAAGGAAATAGCGCGATGAATACACGAAAAAATAGGAAGTCGTAATAAGGAACAAAAGAAAAACCCTAAATCCGTCAATAATTAGAAAAAATAAGAAAGTTTTCTGCAAACAATCAACTTCGAGAATCAAAATCCACTCTCGAACAGTTTACGAACAAAAAACACAGATCAAATTAATCGATTGAATACGAGCAAATGAAGCTCAACTCTAACAATACCAAAAACAACAATCGAAGAAGATGGATAAATACCTGGAGATTGAAACTTCGAATCAATATGAAAAAACTTGTTCGTAGATTTCTTAAAGTCAAAGTTCGTTCTACATTTGAGTGTGGTACTGGAAGCTTAAACAGTAAGAGGACCTTTGCTTCTGGTAGTTATGTAATTTCAAACACAGAGAATCTGATTCTCTCTCACATACGCCATTAATTGTGTGTGTGTGTTTTGTGGGGGTGGATCTACAAAGCAAAAAGAAATGGAAGTTCAATAATGGTGGGAGTGAAGAAAAGGCTTTTGAGAGTTGTTGCATTTTAACCATATAAATAGTTGCCTCAGTCACGAGTTTGTTCTTTATTTGTGACTTTCTTGCGTTTTGGCAAAATCTTATTTAATAAAAGTGGTTTTTGATTATTATTAATAATTAAAAATCTTTTTAGAAAAGTAGTTTAGAAACTTAAAAAGTCCTCGTCGTTGTCATTATCTTTGCTATAATTGCTAATGTATAACCAAGTAAACAATAGTATGTTTTTGATACGACCGGGGACGATGATTTCATGTATTTTAGCGAAAAAATAGTTTTGACACTATTTTAAGGGAAAACGAGGTACAAATAAGTAATGGTTGTAATGTCTCCTTTATTTCTTTAATCCCCAAAAGCTTGATCCTTTATGTTTTAATGATTACATAGGCCAGTTAATCTAATTTTGTTGTATGTATAAAATACCTTCTAAAATTCTTGCTTTAAGGCTTAAGAAGGTTTTGGGAAAGGTCATTAGCCCGGAGCAATGGTTTTATAGGAGCATTCTTTTGGCCAATTGTTATTAATGAGCTATATTATTGGGTGAAGAAGAGTAAAAAGTGTTGGAAAATTTAGTATAAATATTTATATTTTACTAACTTTGGACATATATAAATATATACATATGTTGTATATATAACTAACTCTAAGTGAGTTTGTGTTCTCCTCCACGAGGACATCGAAACGATATATTATATGTCCAAAATGGAGTATATGTGAATGAGATATCGATACTCAAAGAATGGTATTTGAGAATAAATTTAGCAAAAAGAGATGAATGTGGGAATGAGTCTCACATTGGTAGAAAGACCAAACTCAACAAGGTTTATAAGTTTGAATGCATGAAAGGATTACAAGCTTGTGTCTATGGTTTTACTACAATTCCTACCCACGAGCAGGGCGGTGCAAATCTTGGATTTCATAGACCAAAAACACCGAACTTGTGCATGGGCGCGATCTGCGGACACGAATGCAACTCCGAAAACTCGGGCTAGCGCTACTTGATAGTTTTGGTCCCTATTTTGATTTCTGTAACGGATGCATTAATTACGTAATTAATGACATTTATTGGCATTAAACGCTCAATCAATCATTGATTTGTTTCCATTACACGATTCAAGTATAAAAGGAGACATTTACCATCTCATTGAACTGAAAATACTATTCTTTCTCTTACTTCCGGCGACTCTTTCAGGCAAGTGAAATATCCAGCAGTACGCCACTGTTAAGGTTGTTGTACCCTGGGAACAGACGGCGAATCTGTTTAAGGGAATCGAGTCCAACTCGAGCCTCAACCACCACGTTTTGCTGCTAACTTTTTCTTTACACGAAACTTTCAACAGGAAATCGAAGTCCTTACACTAACAAAAAGTAAATTCTTATTATTTTCAAAGTGAATTTTCATAAGGCGTTTGATCCTTTAAATTGGAGCTACTTGGATTCGATTCTTGAACATATTAACTTTGAGGGAAAACTGGAGAAACTGGATAAAGGGATGTCTCTCTTCCTATAAAGCTTCTATATTAGTTAATGATGGTATGCCGAAAAAAGAGTTTTGCATTAAGAGAGGCGTGAGAGAAGGTGATCCTCTTTCGCTTTTCTTATTTATTATGGCTATGGAGAGTCTTAGTATTTCATTAAAAGAAGTTTGTGATCGATTCATCTTCCAAGGTATCTATTTGCCTCGTAATGGTTCATATTTATCTCACTTTATGTATTTGGATGATGTTATGTTTGTAGGTGAATGACCCGAGATAAACTTTGTTAATTTGAATAGAATTCTTAGATGATTTTATCTTGCTTCCAGTTTAAGAGTTAATCCTTTTTCAAAAACAAGGTTTTTGGTATTGGGGTGGATAGCATTGGCATTGCTCGTTTTGCTAATATTCTCCATTGTGAGCCTGCTTTTTTCCTTTTACCTACCTTGGGCTTCCCATTGGTGCAAACATGAAGCTTACCAAAAAGTGGCTTCCCATTGTGAATAATTTTAAAGCTAAATTATTTTTTTGGAAAACGAGAAATCTTTCTTTTGGTGGAAGGCTTACTTTTGTCAAATCTGTATAAGGAAGTCTAATGGTGAATGGTGCCAATAGTCCCAACACAATTAGAACAGTTGGTAATATTACTATTAATAGTAGGGTCCTTGTGGGTTACACGTAAGGACATAAATAAGCAATAAATAATATGGGAAAATTATAGGGACTTGATTTGTAACATCCGGATTTCCAGGTATCATAATTTAAATATTTATTTTGAGTTGAGAAGAAGGACTCGACGAGTTGACGCCTAGACTCGTCGAGTAGGATCGCGATTGATGAGTCGGATTAATGAACGGACTCGACGAGTCGGTGAGGCGACTCGACGAGTCCGCGCTCTTGGCAGAAACCCTAAATCTTTGGGCCTGAGCCCTATTTAAAGGCATTTATAGCCTTCAGTTGCGGCTACCTTCCCAGAAGAAAGAACCCTAGCATAGTTGAGCGTGTGTAGTGAGAGAGAGAGCCATCTTGATCCATTTGTTGTGATTTTGCTAAGGAGGAGAAGTGATCCAGCAAGAAGGACCAAAAGAGGTTGTTGTTCTGAGACTTTCAAGCAAGGAGGCTTCACTTTGAGGTAGCAATTCGGCCCTTTTCTTCTTTTTGTGTAGGCTTCTTGAATCAAGGGTTTCTTTACCCTTTCTTGAGTTGGAATAAGAGCATGAGAGGTCCCAATGTGAAATAGACCTTAGATCTGGACCTTGAGAGGTCCAGAGAGCCCCAAACATCCAGCTTTATGCAGTCCCTTTTTGGGTTTTAGAACATGGTTGTCATATTAGGGCTAAATCATCATATAGAGCCACATGAGTGTTGCATGAGCATAAAGTTTGGACCTTTACGTAACTTTTGAGTGTTAGAAGGCCAGATCTATAGGTTAGAGAAACAGATCTGACCTCAGAAGGTCGTTTGAGCATTCTCATGGAAGAAACTCGTCGAGTCCATGATCGGACTCGACGAGTCGGATCGTGTTGCACCACGATGCGTGATCAGTGGTAACCCGTCGAGAGAAAGGTTAACTCGACGAGTCGAGTGAGGCCTTAGGAGGATTCTGAGGACACGTATGGACTCGCCGAGTCACGCGAGTGCACTCGACGAGTCTGGTCAAAGTTGGACCGTTGACTGGGGTTGACTTTTAGGGTTTGGTCAACATTTGGACATTAGACCATTGGAGGGGTAAAATGGTCTTTTCCCCTTTTGAGAGAATATAGGGAGGGATTAGTCTAGCCTTTGAGAGCCGTATTAATTAGAGATAATTACTTTATGTGATTAGGCGGATGCTAGATCAGATATTCGAGTTCAAGACTTTCCGAGATTACCCGAGGTGAGTCTTCTCACTATACATTACCTAGAGTGGTAACTATGTGCAGACCGGAGGGTCTTATGTGTTATGTGTATATTGAGTTTATGTGCTTTGTGATATATGTGTGCTATGTGTTATATAGACCGGACCGGAGGGTCCTACGATTTAGACCGGACTAGAGGGTCCAACGATTTAGACCGGACCGGAGGGTCCAACGATTTAGACCGGACCGGAGGGTCCAACGAGCTAGACCGGACTGGAGGGTCCAACGAGCTACGGGACTAGAGGGTCCCGCTGAGACACATTGACCGGAGGGTCATACCGAGTTATAGCCTCGAGTGGCTTATGTGTTGTATGTGGTATTTTGGGGAACTCACTAAGCATTTATGCTTACCGTGTTATGTGATATGTGTTTCAGGTACCAGCGAGGATCGCGGGAAGGCGCCGACATGATTTGTACACACTGGCAGAGGATTATGTTTTGAGATTCTGGGATATGTTTTATTATGATGACACTTGATACATGAGATTTTGAGAATATTATATGAGTTTTATTATGTGGAAAAATGAAAAATTGTTTTAAAAATTTACGTCGTTACAAGTTGGTATCAGAGCCTTGGTTTGAGGGATTCGGATGCACCTTCGGGCGTATCTGAACTCAAACTGAGGATTTGAGAAATTTTGCATAAAAGAAACAATTTTTCTAAAAGAGAGAAAGATTTTTGAGAAACGCAGGACGGAGCAGTGTGTACAATCGGCCAGCGCCCGAACGGTGATTTCCCAAAATACCCTTACATTATGTGTTATGAGATATTATGTGATATGTTATGCATGCTAGAGTAGGCTAGGTATTCATAGTTAGGACTAGAGTGGGCCTAATTTGTGATGCCTTAGCCTAGGAGTCACTGCTACTATGAGATACTTCGAGAG